ACTGCCTCCGAAGCTTCCCTCCTCCTTATACTTTCAAGGGCGATGCTCTGGAAGGTGTAGAAATCCTTGATACAAGGAATTGGAGTTATTCTCCCTTATCCCTGGTCAGTTCTCAATCTCTTTCATTTCCCTAGTAGTTGTAAAACCCTGAGTGTTTCAACGCTGAGGAAGTATATCACAAATACTGCCAAAACTTAAACAAACCATACCACGGGTGGGGTTTGAACCTGCGGTCAGAGAGTCTCAAAACACCAGACCGTCGCGTTAGTTTTGAGACTCTGACAGCGGGTTCAAACCCCACCCGTGGTATGGTTTGTTTGCAATCGTGTCACTACGATTTCGTGAGTCACTGTCAAGAGATTTTACGAAGAAGTGATATAATGAGAGAGGAGAATGTGGAGAGAAAGAGAGCTTAAGAGAGTGGTGAAGAAATGTACAAGAAGAGCAAATGAGAGAGTGAGATGCTGTCCACACATTTTTCTGAGAATAAGAGAAAGTTTTGAAGGGAGATTAATAAGTTGAGAAAGTTTAGGGAACGAATGGCTTTGACACTTAAAAATAGAAGAGGAGAGTTATTAGATGGAGAGTTGGAGGTATCGGGAAGATGGAGGGAATATTTTGAGGAACTGTTAAATCTTTTGCGACTTCTTGCAAAGGCCAGGGAGGAATAACATCTTTTAGGAGTGGGGAAGAGCCAGATGGGAGTGTGGGGGAGGTACCTGAGTCTGGGGGTAGAATGAAAGACAGTAAAGCAGATGGGATTAATGGTTTCAACACAGAAGTGTTAAAAGCAGGTGGAGATGTAGTTTTTATAATGGTTGGGGCTTTATTTAATGAATGTATGAAAAGGGGGAACTTACCTAGGGATTGGCAGAGAGCATGCACAGTTCTTTTGTATAAAGGCAAAGGGGACGAGAGAGAAAACAAGAGTTATAGGGAAATAAGCCTGTTAGGTATACATGGTAAAGTGTATGGTTGAGTTATTATTGAAAAAAGTGAAAATCGGAGAGTAGGTTCGCAGATGAACAAGGAGGCTTCAGGAAGGGTAGAGGGTATGTACACCAAGTGTTTACAGTGAAGCATGTAAGTGAACAGTAGATAAGGGTAAAGAGGTTTTCGTTGAGTTTATGGATTTCGAAGAGGCATATGGGAGGGTGGACAGGCGAACAATGTGACAGATGTTGCCAGTGTGTGGAATAAGTAGTAAGTTACTGAAAGCACTTAATTACGAGGATAGTAATGCTCAAGTAAGAGTAAGTAGCAGAGAGGGAGATTATTTCCCAATAAAAGTAGGCCTGAGACAGGGATGTGTGATGTCACCATTGTTGTTCAATATATTTATGAATGGGGTTGTAAGAGAAGTGAATATACACAAATAACTCGCACATAGAAGAGAGGAGCTTACGACGACGCTTCGGTCCGACTTGGACCATTTACAAACTCACACTAACGAGGAGAGGAGGATGGGTATATATAGGCAGGAGGTGGTAGTGGTAGTAGTAGTAGTGGTAGTACCAGAGGTGGAAGTAGTAGTGGGGTGGTAGTAAGAGTAGGAGGGGCAATCAAATATTAAGAAAGAAGAGCACTGCAAGGGAGCTGGTGCCCACAGAGGCTAAGAGAAAGAACACAGAGGGGGCGGAACAAATAAGTAAATAAAGAAGGAACAAATACACAGGGCAGAAGAAAGACAACTCAGAGGAGAAAAGGGAAAAAGAAAAGGGAAAGGGAAAGGGGGAGAAGAAGAAAAAAAGGAGGAATCAGCTTACGTCACAAGTATTCTGAAGTTTGGAGCATTTTACAATGTAGTGGGAGAGGAAGGCATCGTCAGAGACGAAGCCGAAGTGAATACTCGGGTGTTGGGAAGAGGCGTGGGATTAAAAGATAAAGACTCTAACACAAAGTGGAAATTGTCAAAATTGCTTTCTGCTGATGACCAGAGTCGGCCTAATGAGGTGCGGGGCCCAACTGGGAACAATTTTGGTGGGTCCCATGTATGGAGAGCAATCAAACTGTGTGCTTAAAAATGCATGCAAATTAACAAACCAAACAGATGTAAGGTACATTTTAATATAAGATTACGTACATGTAAGCCTACAAATAAGAAACAAAATTTGTCGAAGTTTAAACTCCTGCTAATTTCAGATTCCAGGACATAATCGCCAAAGTGTTCAAACGTTCCTCCTGAATTGATGATCTTAAGTTTTGATGACTCATCTTGGAAAAACTTCTTTCTCCAGAAGCCTCTTTTTTTTACTGTGTGTTATTGTGTGTACTTGTCAAGCCGAGAGTAGATTACACTCTAGCGCCGGGCATACTTAGGCACGGGGCCCAATTGGGAGCTTAAGATCGGCCCTGCTGATGACACTGTGCTTTTGGGAGATTCTGAAGAGCAGTTGCAGAGGTTATCAGACGAATTTGGTAGGGAATGTAAAAGAAAGAAATTAAAAGTGAACATAGGAAAGAGCAAGGTGATGAGATAACAATAAAAGATAGGAAATGAAACACTGAATATCAGATTGGAAGGAGAAAGTATGGAGGAAATTAATTAATGTATTCAAATATCTTGGGAGTAAACGTGTCAGCAGATAGGTCTTCGAAAGTCGAGGTGAACAATAGAACTGACGAGAGGAAAAAGGTGAGTGGCGCACTGAAGAGTCTTTGTTGAAAATGGTGTAAAATACCAATAATTTGATAATTAAGACACATGTGCAGCAGTTGGGTATCTTTATTGCTGAAACGTTTTGCCTACACAGTAGTCTTCCTCTGCTGCCTCCATATTTTACAGAAGACTACTGTGTAGGCGAAGCGTTTCCATAATTAAGATACCTGACTGCTGTATGTCTTAATGATCAACTGAGGAGCCTGTGAAAACATAGAAGCTAAGAGGGAAATGTATGAGAGTAAAGTGGTACCAACACTTTTAAATGGGTGTGAAGTATGGGTGGTGAATGTTGCAGTGAGGAGAAGGCTGGAGGCAGAAGAGATATCATGTCTGAGGGTAAAGTGTGGTGTGAATATTGTACAGATAATCCGTATCTTGGAGATTAGAAGGAGGTGCGGTGTTGCTCGAAGCATTATCCAGAAGGTTGAAGAAATGTTGTTGAGGTGGTTCGGACATTTAGAGAGAATGGAACAAAACAGAATTATTGTAGTGGAAGGAAGGCGTGGTTGGGGTCGTACTAGGTAAAATTGGAGGGAGGGGTTAAAGGAGATTTCGTCTGCGAGGGGCTTAGAGGGGCTTACGCTTAGATCGATTGGAGGCAAATGGTTTTCATGATTTGACGCGCTGTTGGAGTGTGAAAAAGGTAACATTTATGTAAAAATTCAGAGAAATCGGTTAGCCGGACATGGGTAGAGGTGGGAATTACAATGCCTGCACTTTGAAGGAGGGGTGGAGATGTGGTGCAGTTTTTGAGCTGTAGTATCGACACGCCTCTGGTGAGACAATGATGGAGTGAGAGATGAAATTGTTCTTTCTTTAAAGAACAAAAGGCACAATACCGTTACTGGATCAATACACAAATAACCCGCACATAGGAGAGAGGAGCTTACGACGACGTTTCGGTCCGACTTGGACCATTTACAAAGTCACACTAACAGAAAGGAAAAAGGAGGCAGTGCATATAGGCCAGCAGACAAGGACGGGACAAGAGAGATAACAGGAAGGTGGTAGTAGTAGTAGTAGTAATAGTAGTAGTGGAGTCTGTCAAAGGCCAAGAAAGAGGAGCTCTGCAGGAGAGCTAAGGGTCACAAGGGGTACGAATATAAACGCAAGGAGGGATGGGGGGGGGGAATTGAAGGACCAAACGCCCAAGGCAGAAGAAAGAAAACCCAATGAAGACAGAGGAAAAAAAGGAAAGGGGAACAGGAAGAAAGGAGAAAAAAAGAAACAGGTTAAGTCACGGATGTTCTGAAGTTTAGAACATTTTACAAAGTAATGGGAAAGGAAGGCATCTACAGAGATAAAGCCAGAAATAAAATTCATACAAAGAAAGTTGTGTATAAGGGAGGATTCAACCAGACGGTGGCTGAAAAATTAGAAGTAGGGTAGACAATTTTAGCAGAAGACCAGTCAATTGGATGACTGAGATCTCTGACATGACAGAAAAGAGCATTGTTAGTATTGGCTAGCCTAACACTACTTTTGTGCTCCTTAAGTCTGTCAGAAAGAGATCGGCCAGTTTCTCTAAGGTATTGAAGAGGACAAGAGTTACAAGAAATAAAGTAGATACCAGGAGCATCTATTGAGGGAGGAGACGAACGAACTAGATAGGTGCGAAGAGTGTTAGTCTTGCGAAAAGTAAGTTTGATGTCTAAGGAACGAGAAAGTTGTGGAGATTAGGAAGACTGGAAATATAGGTAAGGCAGAGAACAGGAGATTTCCCAGGAGTAGAGAGTTTGGGAGAAAAGAAAGTCCATTTAGCATGTGAGAAGACAGAGTTTATGAAATGGGAAGGGTAGCCTGGCCTATAATTTCAGTCTTTCTAATCTCAGCACATCTCTCCATGGAGAAGGCTGTGGGTAGGGGTGGGTTAGAGAGGTAATGATGTACGCCCAATACCCAGCCAGAATTCAATCATTTATACTACTTGCATCATTCATTCAAGCTTTCACTTAACGAACCATTTCACTGCTGTATGGGACCACTTCGCTGGCCACTTCAATAATGACACTCTTCCTTTCATTACAATACTCACCAAACCATTGACTATACCACGTTTTTGTATACATAGGCTCGATCCTATGTTTGTTGTCTAAGAGAAACACTCCGTTTAATTTTATTTTAATTACATGTATCACAGAAAGTATCCGTCCATGTATGTTTTTTTTTCTAAGGTGCCACTGGTTACCTGTTTTCCCAAAGCTCTAATGGCGGGTCACCTGGCTAAGACCCGCGTCAGGAGACATTTGTCCTGTTTCCTGACGAACCTTACCTAACCTATCCTCCCAAAGATGCTACTTAGAGAGTGCCATTAATTCCACCTTATTTTACCCTACAGATCCGTGCCCACTGCGTTTACCCGTGTGGGTGTGAAGGTGTGCCAGAGTGCGGTGTGGGCGTACGGGTGGTGATGGACGGGTGTGGGTGCTGTTGGCAGTGTGCCCGCCAGCTGGGAGAGCCATGTGACGGTGCCACATTATGCGATGTAGCAGCGGGACTCACATGTAGCTACGCCTCCACCGCTGATCCTACAGGAACCTGCCAAAGTGAGTCCCTCTCCTCTCTTACATGTAGTTACCAAGTACACCTAGAGTGAAGTCAGGAAACGAGCCGTAACTAGCCCATTTAACTTCTCTTAGAAAATAAACGGGGACAAGATCCACTTGGAAATAAGATATGGCTGACCAACACAATAACTTCAGGAAGCCTCTTCCAATATGCTTCAAACTCTCAGCAAAGGTGGGGTTCAAAGCCATGGCAAGCAAGTCCTAATACTCACAGGCTAGTGTGTTAACCACAGGTCTATGCCGACCTAACAAAATTCAATCAAATAAATATATTTCTATGCACCATAGGGCGCTGTATGACCCTTGTGGAAGAAGAAAATTTTTCGCTGAAAATACTCGAGTATAATTTATCTTCCATCTCGAATCGCTGAAGAACTTTATAAACAGGTTTCGTACATGTAAATTTGCCAGTTCCATGACATAGAAAATAATCCTGGAATTTCTGGATTTAGGACAATGCCAAGAGAATGCCTTTCTTGATACAACTTCAGACTTTCAGTAGTAATGTCCTCGGATCAAATCAAGATCCACATTGATCTTGAAAGCTAAGCTTTAATGTACCTTTATTTACAGAATTTGGTTTATAAACATTAAAAGATAAAACGCCTCTTATTATCTACTTGTAACCAAGTAACACCAGCGTACCTGACCAACCAGGCTGTGGTTCGTATATCAGCTTGCTTGCGGCCAGCACAGCCTGGTTGATCAGACTCTGATCCACCATGAGGCCTGGTCTCAGACCGAGCCGCGGGGGCGTTGACCCCTGGAACCCTATCCAGGTAAACTCTAGGTAAACACCCGTCCTAGTATGATCCGGGTTTGAATGTTAAGATCCTATCATTCACAGCTTAACTTCCTCTCATATTGTATTAAATTAGACACATGTGCAACACTTGGGTATCTTTATTGAGGAAACGTTTCGCCACACAGTGGCTTCATTAGTCCATACAAAGGAGAATCTTGAAGAACAGGAGGAGAATGAGGTAATCAGTCCCTCAACCTTGAGTCGATGTGGTCAGTCCATCAGTCCATCAATGATGGACTGACCACATCGACTCAAGGTTGAGGGACTGATTACCTCATTCTCCTCCTGTTCTTCAAGTTTCTCCTACGTATGGACTGATGAAGCCACTGTGTGGCGAAACGTTTCCTCAATAAAGATACCCAAGAGTTGCACATGTGTCTAATTTATCAACATGTCGGTTCTCTGAACCATTCATCTACAAACATATTGTATTAAGTATAAACGAAACTAATTTGTATAACCCTGAAATAATATTCACAATAAAATCAATACGATTTTTTATAAAGGTTGATTCAGTTATATTTCTCTCGACCACAGTCATACATAACAAATAAAAAAATGACACAATACCGTGACTGGAACAATACACAAACAACCTGTACATAGAAGACAGGAGCTTACGACGACGTTTCGGTCCGACTTGGACCATTTACAAAGTCACACAGGCATACCTTTTGAAAATCAATTAGATGGTTAAAATCTCTCTCATAAATAAACAGAGCATTAGACTCTTGTCCAGTTCTAATGTTATATTTATGTTGTGATCACAGTTAAAGGCTTTTCCCAGTTAACCCATAAACTTTATTACATTTTTTAAAGGTAATCTTGAAGACATCCATTATGGGGAGAATTTTAAATCAGATATTTTTTTACTTTGTCAAGATTTTTAAATACAGTATTGCTTTTAAATTTCTTAAGTGGAGAAGGTGTATCAAGAAACTTTTCTTGGTAAGGGAGAATCAAAATATTTTTGGCTGAATATCATCACTCGTTTTTAGAATTGCTAAATTTATTTCTAACAATTATAAATAATTTATCAGTTATTTTGGGTATTTTAGGTTATTAGCTCTTTCAGAAATGTTCAAGATTTCTTCATCTATGTTTATCTGTGTTTATTTTACCTCCCCCCCCCCCAAACTGATTTTCAAAAACCCAAGAAAGTTACATTAAGCAGATAAATGGTAGAGAGAAATATAATTATATCCAGCTTCATAAAAAATACAATTGATTTTAATATGAATATTAGTTCTGGGTTATACTAATTAGATTGATTAATAATCAATAAAATTATGGAAATATTTAAGCTATGTATGACAGGTCCTTGACACTCCTACCAGTATTATACTGGGATGGTATAATGTATGTGAGGTGATATCTCAGCCTTATAAACTTTCTGCTGTTCTATTATACTTTTTTTCAGGTCCTTGATCATGTGAGAACTCACAATTGCACTTGGAAGTTTGCTAGTTTTCACAGTGGTGATTTTGCACATTATGATATCACCTGTTTACATATATATATATACCTGGAGTATATCTGAAGAGGGTTTCGGCGGGCAACGCCCCCGCGGCCCAGTCTGTAACTAGGCCTCGTGGTGGATCAGGGCCTGATCAACCAGGCTGTTACTGCTGGCTACACACAAACCGAAGTACGAACCGTGGCGCCCCTGCTTTTCATTGGGGGGATGTTGCTTCTCCTGTCATGTCTTTTGCTTTCGTAGGGAGTGATTTTCGTGTGCAAATTTGGTACTAATCTCTAGGATTTTCTCTCTATTGTGTGGTTAGAATTTGTTTTAAACTTCGATATAGTTTTAATTTCCTCAAGTCTTCCATATCGCAGTAATTGAAATTTCTTTTCATTGAACTCTATATTGTTTTCTGCGGTCAATTTCAAGATCTGGTTGATGTCTGCTGGGGATCTTGCAATGTCTTCGATGGAGGACACTCTCATACAGATTCGGGTGTCATCCGCAATGGGAGACACGGTGCTGTAGCTTACATCTCTGCCTATGTCACATATGAGGATGAGGAATAGGATGTGGACGAGTACTGTGCCTTGTGGAACAGTTTTTCACTGTAGCCGCCTCAGACTTTACTCTGTTTACTATTACTCTTTGTGTTCTGTTTGTTAGGAAGTTGTAAATCCATCTACCAACTTTTCCTCTTATTCCTTCATCACGCATTTTGTGTGCTATCATACCATGGTCACACTTGTCAAAGACCTTCGCAAAGTTTGTGTATAAAACATCCGCATTTTGTTTGTCCTCCACAGCATCCAAGACCTTGTCATAGTGGTCCAGTAGCTAGGACGGGCAGGAACGGCCTGCTCTAAACCCATATTGTTCTGGGTTGTTTAACTGATGGGTATTTAGATGGGTGTCAATCTTGCTTCTTAGAACCCTTTCAAAGATTTTTATGATTTAGGATGTTAGTGCTATCGGTCTGCAGTTGTTTGCAATTGCTTTACTGCCACCTTTGTAGAGTGGGGCTATGTCTGTTGTTTTTAGTGAGTGTGGGATGACCCCTGTGTTCATGCTCCCTCTCCATAAAATGCTGAAGGCACATGACAGGGGCCTCACGCTGTTCTTGATGAACACGGAATTCCATGAGTCTGGGCCTGGGGCAGAGTGAACGGGCATGGCATTTATTGCCTTTTCGAAGTCATGTGGTGTTAGGATAATATTAGAGATTTTTGAACTGACCAAATTTTGAATCTCCGTCATAAAGAAATCATTTAGGTTGTCGACTCTTAGTATGGTTAGAGGCTCAGTTTAACTGGCCGATTTCTTCCCCTCAAGTACCCCCCCCCCAATTCTCTGAAAATTTATCAGCTCCGTCATGTCCTCCACTCCTGTTTGTTTGATGATATTTTCAATATCTTTATTCCTCTCCCAGTCGTCTTTCTTCGTATGTCCTCCTTCGGCCTACTAAAGACCATGAATAAAAACTGACCTCTGCCTCTCTTCCCATTGCTTATCCCTCCGCATCTCTGGGTCCCATATAAACGTAGCCATTGCTGTTTCCCTTACATTTTCTGGATATTACGGTGATCTGATCGTGCCTCTGCAGATAATGGGACCTATCACCTTGTCTACCTACCCCTATCCTCACTTACTGCTGTCGCTGTGCTCAGCAGCATGCCATTGTTGTTCCTCACCATTTCCTGGAGGCCTAACAGGGCGTCAGCTTAGGACTTAACTCCTTCCTTTCCTTTGGTTTCCTCATTGGATATTGGTGCACCTGCTCCTGATGGCATGCCCCATCCTTTCTTTGGCTCTATATCTAGTTCTTGCAGGGGTAGAGTCATAGCTCCTGGCCCCAGTAATGTGCGTGTGTGTGTGTGTGTGTGTACTCACCTAGTTGTACTCACCTAGTTGAGGTTGCAGGGGCCGAGTCCAAACTCCTGGCCCCACCTCTTCACTGGTGTGTGTGTGTGTGTGTGTACTCACCTAGTTGAACTCACCTAGTTGAGGGTGCAGGGGTCGAGTCCAAGCTCCTAGCCCCGCCTCTTCACTGGTGTGTGTGTGTGTGTGTGTGTGTGTGTGTGGTGTGTGTGTGTGTGTGTGTGTGTGTGTGTGTGTGTATGTGTGTGTGTGTGTGTGTGTGTGTGTGTGTGTGTGTGTGTGTGTGTGTGTGTGTGCAAGCGTGTGTTTGTGTCCATTTCCATTACTCACATACTGAGCGTAACTTAACGTGGTGTTGACAGAGGTGCGACCTGCCAAGTGTAGGGTCAACAACACAACGTACGACCATGGCCAGAGCTTCGCCCTTGACTGTCGCACCCAGTGTACTTGCCAGGTAGGTCCCTCCCTTATTTATTTCTCACTACATTTTTCCAACTGAATACTTACCATTAGTTATTTATGATTACCTTTTTGTAATTACCTTCGTGTGATTTCCTATCTGTGATCACTTTTTTGGGTTCACCTTTATATGATTATTTGTGTGATGATCTGTTTGTCATTAAGTTTGCACGATCGAGTTTTTGTGATTACTTATTTGCTGTAACTATTTGTGATCTTAAAATGATTATAGTTTTTGATAACCTATTTCTGCTTGGCAGGATCTGCTGGCATCCAATACTTGGTCATTTTATGTGGTAATGTTGCACTGCAATTGATTTCTTCAGTCATTGATAAATTAGACACATGTGCAACTCTTGGGTATCTTTATTGAGGAAACGTTTCGCCACACAGTGGCTTCAACAGTCCATACAAATTGAACATTAAAATGGTATAAAATACCGACAGGTTGTTAGGTAAGACACATATGCAACAGTTAGGTATCTTTATTATGAAACGTTTCGCCAACACAGTAGGCTTCTTCAGTCGAGTACAGAAAAGTTGATAGAAGCAGAAGATACTTGAAGACGATGTAATCAGTCCATCACCCTTAAAGTTTTGAGGTGGTCAGTCCCTCAGTCTGGAGAAGAGCATTGTTCCATAGTATGAAACAATATGGAGATGAAGTGACAGGATGGAGCTTTTATATAGCGCCAAGAGGTGAGACGTAGGTCACTAGAAGAGGTAAGAACTCAGATGTTGAGAGGTCAGGTCCCTCTCAAATCCAGCCGCTCTCACTAGTGGAAGTTGTCGAAGTTGATTGCAGGTCTGTACCAAGATACCCTTGTGTTGCAGTGTCTGACAGATTGAACATTAAAATGGCGAAACGTTTCATAATAAAGACACCCAACTGTTGCATATGTGTCTTACCTAACAGTCCATACAAAGGAGAATCTTGAAGAACAGGAGGAGAATGAGGTAATCAGTCCCTCAACCTTGAGTCGATGTGGTCAGTCCATCAATCTTGAATAGACCTGACCTCTCAATATCTGAGTTCTTACCTCTTCTAGTGACCTACGTCTCACCTCTTGGCGCTGTATAAAAGCTCCATCCTGTCACTTCATCTCCATATTGTTTCATACTATGGAACAATGCTCTTCTCCAGACTGAGGGACTGACCACCTCAAAACTTTAAGGGTGATGGACTGATTACATCGTCTTCAAGTATCTTCTGCTTCTATCAACTTTTCTGTACTCGACTGAAGAAGCCTACTGTGTAGGCGAAACGTTTCATAATAAAGATACCTAACTGTTGCATATGTGTCTTACCTAACAACCTGTCGGTATTTTATACCATTTTAATGTTCAATTTGTATGGACTGTTGAAGCCACTGTGTGGCGAAACGTTTCCTCAATAAAGATACCCAAGAGTTGCACATGTGTCTAATTTATCAACATGTCGGTTCTCTGAACCATTCATCTACAAACTTCTTCAGTCATTACTGAAGTCATCATTCGTGGCACATCATTTCCTCCTAGTACTGCACTTTTTGGTATAATTTGTATTTACCTGTATTTCGTATCATACAACCAAGAAACATTATTCTTAAACATTAATAACTAGAGGAGCACTGTAACAGACCTACTTGCTGATGTTAGACATTTCCATCATGTCTTATTTACATAGCTCTTCCTAAAACCGAACTCTTCTTTTTTATATATGTATCAAAACTGTTTAAAAAAAAAACCAGGATATTGGCTTCTGTGATGAGAGTCAAGATTGTTCTATTTATCACTAATTATTTAATCCATAAAGTGCTTTTCTTGGTTAGATTTTCTCAGTACCATGTTTATTTCTTCATTATTTTATCTATAATTAACTTGCATGTGTTAATTATATCCCTTCTCTCGTTCAAGTGAGTATAAGATCACAGGTGTAATCCCTTCTAACGTTTAATTGACTCTGGGGTCAATATTAACACCAGAATTAACATTTTGCAGAAAGAACTTTAATAGGAATAACTGTTTTTATATGCTAAGTTCTTTATCAAGTTATACAGGGGATACAAGTTGCTAGTATACTGTTTATACACTAACAGGAGAGGTGAGAAGAATGCTACCGTTAACAGAGAATGCCACCTCACATTTAAACAACCTCAAGAAAATTGTGTTCCGAGCACAGTGGAACACATAAAAATATTCCTCTCCAGAGTAAACAAACTCCAGAATAGAAACTTAGAGCTAAAATTTCACAGATTTTGCTTGTACATCACCTGGAAGATAACAGTACTGGACCTGGCACCTTCTCCAGCAAGGGTAGACTCACACACTTGAGTGTTAGTAATATATTACTTGTTCTTTACGAACCTTCCATACATTAACTACCTGTACACTAAACCAGTGATACACATTATATTACAGAGACATTCACGGTAAAGGTTCAAAGGAATAGCTGAATATTGTCCAGAAATAAGAGACCATTTCAACACAGTCCAGTGTAACTCTTATAGTATTCCACAGTGTAACTCTTACAGTATTCCACAGTGTAACTCTTACAGTATTCCACAGTGTAACTCTTACAATATTCCACAGTGTAACTCTTATAGTATTCCACAGTGTAACTCTTACAGTATTCCACAGTGTAACTCTTACAGTATTCCACAGTGTAACTCTTACAATATTCCACAGTGTAACTCTTACAATATTCCACAGTGTAACTCTTACAGTATTCCACAGTGTAACTCTTACAGTATTCCACAGTGTAACTCTTACAATATTCCACAGTGTAACTCTTACAATATTCCACAGTGTAACTTTTACAATATTCCACAGTGTAACTCTTACAATATTCCACAGTGTAACTCTTACAATATTCCACAGTGCAACTCTTACAATATTCCACAGTGTAACTGTTACAATATTCCACAGTGTAACTTTTACAATATTCCACAGTGTAACTCTTACAATATTCCACAGTGTAACTCTTATAGTATTCCACAGTGTAACTCTTACAGTATTACACAGTGTAACTCTTACAGCATTCCACAGTGTAACTCTTACAGTATTCCACAGTGTAACTCTTACAGTATTACACAGTGTAACTCTTACAGTATTACACAGTGTAACTCTTACAGCATTCCACAGTGTAACTCTTACAGTATTCCACAGTGTAACTCTTACAGTATTACACAGTGTAACTCTTACAGTATTACACAGTGTAACTCTTACAGTATTACACAGTGTAACTCATACGGTATTACACAGCGTAACTCTTACAGTATTACACAGTGTAACTCTTACAGCATTACACAGTGTAACTCTTACAGTATTACACAGCGTAACTCTTACAGTATTACACAGTGTAACTCTTACAGTATTACACAGTGTAACTCTTACAGGATTACACAGTGTAACTCTTACAGTATTACACAGTGTAACTCTTACAGTATTACACAGCGTAACTCTTACAGTATTACACAGTGTAACTCTTACAGTATTACACAGTGTAACTCTTACAGTATTACACAGCGTAACTCTTACAGTATTACACAGTGTAACTCTTACAGTATTACACAGCGTAACTCTTACAGTATTACACAGTGTAACTCTTACAGTATTACACAGCGTAACTCTTACAGTATTACACAGTGTAACTCTTACAGTATTACACAGCGTAACTCTTACAGTATTACACAGTGTAACTCTTACAGTATTACACAGTGTAACTCTTACAGTATTACACAGTGTAACTCTTACAGTATTACACAGCGTAACTCTTACAGTATTACACAGTGTAACTCTTACAGTATTACACAGTGTAACTCTTACAGTATTACACAGTGTAACTCTTACAGTATTACACAGCGTAACTCTTACAGTATTACACAGTGTAACTCTTACAGTATTACACAGTGTAACTCTTACAGTATTACACAGTGTAACTCTTACAGTATTACACAGCGTAACTCTTACAGTATTACACAGTGTAACTCTTACAGTATTACACAGTGTAACTCTTACAGTATTACACAGCGTAACTCTTACAGTATTACACAGTGTAACTCTTACATTATTACACAGCGTAACTCTTACAGTATTACACAGTGTAACTCTTACAGTATTACACAGTGTAACTCTTACAGTATTACACAGCGTAACTCTTACAGTATTACACAGCGTAACTCTTACAGTATTACACAGTGTAACTCTTACAGTATTACACAGTGTAACTCTTACAGTATTACACAGTGTAACTCTTACAGTATTACACAGTGTAACTCTTACAGTATTACACAGTGTAACTCTTACAGTATTACACAGTGTAACTCTTACAGTATTACACAGTGTAACTCTTACAGTATTACACAGTGTAACTCTTACAGTATTACACAGTGTAACTCTTACAGTATTACACAGTGTAACTCTTACAGTATTACACAGTGTAACTCTTACAGTATTACACAGTGTAACTCTTACAGTATTACACAGTGTAACTCTTACAGTATTACACAGTGTAACTCTTACAGTATTACACAGTGTAACTCTTACAGTATTACACAGTGTAACTCTTACAGTATTACACAGTGTAACTCTTACAGTATTACACAGTGTAACTCTTACAGTATTACACAGTGTAACTCTTACAGTATTACACAGTGTAACTCTTACAGTATTACACAGTGTAACTCTTACAGTATTACACAGCGTAACTCTTACAGTATTACACAGTGTAACTCTTACAGTATTACACAGCGTAACTCTTACAGTATTACACAGCGTAACTCTTACAGTATTACACAGTGTAACTCTTACAGTATTACACAGCGTAACTCTTACAGTATTACACAGCGTAACTCTTACAGTATTACACAGCGTAACTCTTACAGTATTACACAGTGTAACTCCTATATTATTCAAGTGCAGCACTCTAGCAGCACTCTAGGGCACTTCCATCAGTACTCTACAGCATACCTCCCAGCGCATCTATTAGATGGAACTCTTGGTTTAATAACAGTATTACCTGCAGACGAGTTCTTCCTTCAGTACTGTCGTAGTGACATCAAGAGAAACAACAGAATAATTAATAATATTAACAGTGCTACACACCAACAGTAACAGCAGTGTTCATTATAATAACTACATTAACAGCAGTATTTATCCTGATATCAACAGCAACAACAGCATTTATCCTGATATCAACAGCAACAACAGCATTTATCCTGATATCAACAGTCCATCAATCTTGTACAATGTACAGCATAGGGCCGTAGACGTGGCTTATGCTGTAGTCAGGTGAGGTGAAGCAGGAGGAGGCGGGGTCATAGTGGTACCCCACTGGTCTGAAAAATTCTTTGTATCAAGATCCCATGATGTTGCAGTGTCTGACAGATGTGATAAATGGTCATAGTGGATGGTTCCATGATGACCTCGCCTCCTCCTGCTTCGCTTCACCTGACTACGGTATATAAGCCACGTTTACGGCCCTATGCTGTACTTTCTACAAGACTGATGAACTGAACACATCGACTCCAGGTTGAGGGACTGATTACTTCAAACTCCTCCTCTCCTTACACCTTTCTGCTTTGTATTGGACTGATGAAGCCACTGTGTGGCGATACGTTTCCTCAATAAAGATTACCATATGTTACATAAATGTCTCAGTCTTCAACTTGTCGGCTTTTCAAACCATTTGTCACAGCACCAGCAGTATTTATCCAGATATCAACAGCAGTATTTATCATGAAATCGAAAGCAACAGTAGTTATCATTATATCAACAGTGACATCACTGTTTAGCACATCAATATTAACAGCATTATTTATCATATTAATATTAACAGCAATATTTTTCACGATATTGACAACAGCATCAATAAGTATTGACCCCTGACATCAACAAAATGAGTTGTGACCTTAGCATTTGCAGCAACAGCAGTAGGGACAGCTGCATCAACAGGAACAGCATTATTGACCCTGATGTTAACATGAGCAGCAATACTGACACTAACATCAACACAAAACAGCAATACTGACAATATTATCAACACAAAACAGCAATACTGACTGTAACATCAACAAAAAACAGCAGTATTGATCTGACATCAACAGGATGTGCATGATTGACCTCTGACATGAACTGGAACAGCAATATTGACCCTGCCATCAATAAAAGCAGCAGTTGTGAACTGCCATAAAGCGGAACATCAATAACAAACACATTGTTCTTGCAGAATGGGACGTACGCGTGTGTGTCACTCTGCCCTAGTGAGAGCATCTTACCTGGTGCCCAGTGCCACAACCCACACCTGGAGGCAGTGCCAGGACAGTGCTGCAGAGAGTGGATGTGTGACACCGACCCAGGTCAGAGTCCAGCATTTTTGAGATAAAGCAGGAGAGTACCTAGCTTCCATGAGAGGTAGCTGGTCAGTACTCAACCTCTCTGGTGTATAAGAGGTTTGTATCGACTTCTCTGGGGTGTTCCAGGTCAGTAACCTAGTTCTGTGTGGTATAGCACGTCAATACCCAGCGTCAGTGGGGATGTAGAAAGTCAATACCAGTCATCTTGTGGTACTGCTAGTACCCAGCCTTCTTAGGAGAGGTAGGTTAGTACGTCTCTTCCCTAGTATGTAACATAATAGTAGTTAGCTCGCTTGGGGTATATTATTACAATAACTACCTTCCGTGAGATATGGTAAGTTAGAATCCAAACTTCTTGGAGTGTAACAGAACAGTACCTAGCTTCCCCGTGGCATGGTAGGTCATTACTCAGCTTCCCTGTGGTGTATTAGAGCAGTACCAGGTCTTGGTGTGAAGTTGGTACAGTAAGTTCCCAACCCCCATTGGGTATAACAGGTGAGAACCCAGTCTTCCTGGGATGTAACAGGACCATACCCAGTCTTCTTGGGATGTAACAGGACAGTACCCAGTTTAACTGGGTAATAGGCTAAGTACCCTGCCATCCTATATTGTTGAAGGCAAATACCCAGCTTTCCATGGATGTAGCAGGCCAGTACCCAGCCTTTCTGAGATGTAGAAGGTCAGTACATAACTTTCCTGGAATGTAGCAGGTCACTACCCAACCATCCTGGAATGTAGCGGGTAAGTATTCATGTGATGTGGTACTAGTAGAAGTAGGTCGTGTGTATAGGTTAGAAATGATTGTATAAATCCCTTCGTCAAGATCTCAAGATGTTGACGTATCTGACACGACCTACTCCCACACGACCTACTCCCACACGACCTACCCCCACACGACCTACTCCCACACGACCTACCCCCACACGACCTACTCCCACACGACCTACTCACACAAGACCTACCCCCACACGACCTACTCCCACACGACCTACTCCCACACGACCTACTCCCACACGACCTACTCCCACACGACCTACTCCCACACGATCTACTCCCACACGACCTACTCCCACACGATCTACTCCACACGATCTACTCCCACACGATCTACTCAAACACGACCTACTCCCACACGACCTACCCCCACACGACCTACTCCCACACGACCTACTCCCACACGATCTACTCCCACACGATCTACTCCCACACGATCTACTCAAACACGACCTACTCCCACACGACCTACTCCCACACGACCTACCCCCACACGACCTACTCCCACACGACCTACCCCCACACGACCTACTCCCACACGACCTACTCACACAAGACCTACCCCCACACGACCTACTCCCACACGACCTACTCCCACACGACCTACTCCCACACGACCTACTCCCACACGACCTACTCCCACACGATCTACTCCCACACGACCTACTCCTACACGATCTACTCCCACACGATCTACTCCCACACGATCTACTCAAACACGACCTACTCCCACACGACCTACCCCCACACGACCTACTCCCACACGACCTACTCCCACACGATCTACTTCCACACGACCTACTCCCACACGATCTACTCCCACACGATCTACTCCCACACGATCTACTCAAACACGACCTACTCCCACACGACCTACTCCCACACGACCTACTTCTACACGACCTACTCCCACACGACCTACTTCCACTGGTCTTCTCCCTGGAGACTCCGCCTACAACTGCTCCACCTCATAAGTCAACAGTATATAAGCTTCTCCGCTAATATACTGTACATTCGTCAAGACTGACGGACAGAACACATCCACTCCAGGCTGAGGGACTGATTACCTCACACTCCTCCTACTCTTCCACCTTTCTCTGCACTGGACTGAAGCTACTGTGTGACGAAATATTTTCCGAATAAAGGTTCCCAAATGCTGCATAACTGTCCCATTTATCATACTGCCATCCTGGGATGTATCAGGTCAGTACCCAGCCATCCTGGGATGTATCAGGTCAGTACCCAGCCATCCTGGGATGTATCAGGTCAGTACCCAGCCATCCTGGGATGTATCAGGTCAGTACCCAGCCATCCTGGGATGTATCAGGTCAGTACCCAGCCATCCTGGGATGTATCAGGTCAGTACCCAGCCATCCTGGGATGTATCAGGTCAGTGCCCAGCCATCCTGGGATGTATCAAGTCAGTACCCAGCCATCCTGGGATGTGTCAGGTTAGTACCCAGTCATCCTGGAATGTATCAGGTCAGTACCCAGCCATCCTGGGATGTATCAGATCAGTACCCAGCCATCCTGGGATGTATCAGATCAGTACCCAGCCATCCTGGGATGTATCAGATCAGTACCCAGCCATCCTGGATGTATCAGATCAGTACCCAGCCATCCTGGGATGTATCAGATCAGTACCCAGCCATCCTGGGATGTATCAGATCAGTACCCAGCCATCCTGGGATGTATCAGGTCAGTACACAGCCATCCTGGGATGTATCAGGTCAGTACCCAGCCATCCTGGGATGTATCAGGTCAGTACCCAGCCATCCTGGGATGCATCAAGTCAGTACCCAGCCATCCTGGGATGTATCAGGTCAGCACCCAGCCATCCTGGGATGTATCAGATCAGTACCCAGCCATCTTGGGATGTATCAGGTCAGTACCCAGCCATCCTGGGATGTATTAAGTCAGTACCCAGCCATCCTGGGATGTATCAGGTCAGTACCCAGTCATCCTGGAATGTATCAGGTCAGTACCCAGCGATCCTGGGATGTATCAGATCAGTACCCAGCCATCCTGGGATGTATCAGATCAGTACCCAGCCATCCTGGGATGTATCAGATCAGTACCCAGCCATCCTGGGATGTATCAGATCAGTACCCAGCCATCCTGGGATGTATCAGATCAGTACCCAGCCATCCTGGGATGTATCAGATCAGTACCCAGCCATCCTGGGATGTATCAGATCAGTACCCAGCCATCCTGGGATGTATCAGATCAGTACCCAGCCATCCTGGGATGTATCAGATCAGTACCCAGCAATCCTGGGATGTATCAGGTCAGTACCCAGCCATCCTGGGATGTATCAGGTCAGTACCCAGCCATCCTGGGATGTATCGGGTCAGAACCCAGCCATCCTGGGATGTATCAAGTCAGTACCCAGCCATCCTGGGATGTATCAGGTCAGCACCCAGCCATCCTGGGACGTATCAGATCAGTACCCAGCCATCTTGGGATGTATCAGGTCAGTACCCAGCCATCCTGGGATATATCAGGTCAGTACCCAGCCATCCTGGGATGTATCAGGTCAGTAGCCAGCCATCCTGGGATGTATCAGGTCAGTACGCAGCCATCCTGGGATGTATCAGGTCAGTACCCAGCCATCCTGGGATGTATCAGGTCAGTACCCAGCCATGCTGGGATGTATCAGGTCAGTACCCAGCCATCCTGTGATGTATCAGGTCAGCACCCAGCCATCCTGGGATGTATCAGGTCAGTACCCAGCCATCCTGGGATGTATCAGATCAGCACCCAGCCATCCTGGGAAGTATCAGATCAGTACCCAGCCATCTTGGGATGTATCAGGTCAGTACCCAGCCATCCTGGGATATATCAGGTCAGTACCCAGCCATCCTGGGATGCATCAGGTCAGTAGCCAGCCATCCTGGGATGTATCAGGTCAGTACCCAGCCATCCTGGGATGTATCAGGTCAGTACCCAGCCATCCTGGGATGTATCAGATCAGCACCCAGCCATCCTGGGATATATCAGATCAGTACCCAACCATCCTGGGATGTATCAGGTCAGTACCCAGCCATCCTGTGATGTATCAGGTCAGTGCCCAGCCATCCTGGGATGCATCAGGCCAATACCCAGCCATCCTGGGATGTATCAGGTCTGTACCCAGCCATCCTGGGATGTAGCAGGTCAGTACCCAGCCATCCTGGGATGTATCAGGTCAGTACCCAGCCATCCTGGGATGTATCAGATCAGTACCCAGCCATCCTGGGATGTAGCTCGTCACCACTCAGCCATCCAGGAATGTAGTGGTCAGTACACAGCCATCATGGGATGTAGTAGGTCAGTACTCAGCCATCCTTGGATGTAGTGGGTCAGTACTCAGCCATCCTGGGATGTAGCGGGTCAGTACTCAGCCATCCTGGGATGTAGTGGGTCAGTACTCAGCCATCCTGGGATGTAGCGGGTCAGTACTCACCCATCCTGGAATGGAGTGGGTCAGTACTCAGCCATCCTGGGATATAGCGGGTCAGTACTCAGCCATCCTGGGATGTAGCGGGTCAGTACTAAGCCATCCTGGGATGTAGTAGGTCAGTACTCAGCCATCCTGGGATGTTGCGGGTCACCACTCAGCCATCCTGGGATGTAGTGGGTCAGTACACGGCCATTCTGGGATGTAATGGGTCATACCCAGCCATCCTGGGATGTAGCAAGTCAGTACCCAGCCTTCCTGGGATGTAGCAGGTCAGTATCCAGCCATCCTGGGATGCAGCAGGTCAGTACCCAGCCATCCCAGGATGTAGCAGGCCACCACCCAGCCATCCTGGGATGTAGTGGGTCAGTACTCAGCCATCCTGGGATGTAGCGGGTCAGTTCCCAGCCATCCTGGGATGTAGTGGGACAGTACTCAGCCATCCTGGGATGTAGCGGGTCACCACTCAGCCATCCTGGGACGTAGTGGGTCAGTACTCAGCCATCCTGGGATGTAGCGGGTCAGTACTCAGCCATCCTGGGATGTAGTGGGTCAGTACTCAGCCATCCTGGGATGTAGTGGGTCAGTACTCAGCCATCCAGGGATGTAGTGGGTCAGTACTCAGCCATCCTGGGATGTAGTGTGTCACCACTCAGCCATCCTGGGATGTAGTGGGTCAGTACTCAGCTATCCTGGGATGTTGTGAGTCAGTACTCAGCCATCCTGGGATGCAGTGGGTCAGTACTCAGCCATCCTGGGATGTAGCTGGTCACCACTCAGCCATCCTGGGATGTAGTGGTCAGTACACAGCCATCATGGGATATAGTAGGTCAGTACTCAGCCATTCTTGGATGTAGTGGGCCAGTACTCAGCCATCCTGGGATGGAGTGGGTCAGTACTCAGCCATCCTGGGATGTAGTGGGTCAGTACTCAGCCATCCTGGGATGTAGCAGGTCAGTACTCACCCATCCTGGAATGGAGTGGGTCAGTACTCAGCCATCCTGGGATGTAGTGGGTCAGTACTAAGCCATCCTGGGATGTAGTGGGTCAGTACTCAGCCATCCTGGGATGTAGCGGGTCACCACTCAGCCATCCTGGGATGTAGTGGGTCAGTTCACAGCCATCCTGGGATGTAATGGGTTATACCCAGCCATCCTGGGATGTAGCGGGTCAGTACTCAGCCATCCTGGGATGTAGTGGGTCAGTACTCAGCCATCCTGGGATGTAGTGGGTCAGTACTCAGCCATCCTGGGATGTAGCGGGTCATTACTCAGCCATCCTGGGATGTAGCGGGTCAGTACTCAGCCGTCCTGGGATGTAGTGGGTCAGTACTCAGCCATCCTGGGATGTAGCGGGTCAGAACTCAGCTATCCTGGGATGTAGCAGGCCACTACCCAGCCATCCTGGGATGTAGTGGGTCAGTACTCAGCCATCCTGGGATGTAGCGGGTCAGTACCCAGCCATCCTGGGATGTAGTGGGTCAGTACTCAGCCATCCCGGGATGTAGCGGGTCAGTATCAGCCATCCTGGATGTAGCGGGTCAGTACTCAGCCATCCTGGGATGTAGCGGGTCAGTACTCAGCCATCCTGGGATGTAGTGGGTCAGTACTCAGCCATTCTGGGATGTAGCGGGTCAGAACTCAGCTATCCTGGGATGTAGCAGGCCACCACCCAGCCATCCTGGGATGTAGTGGGTCAGTACTCAGCCATCCTGGGATGTAGTGGGTCAGTACTCAGCCATCCTGGGATGTAGCGGGTCAGTACTCAGCCATCCTGGGATGTAGTGGGTCAGTACCCAGCCATCCTGGGATGTAGCGGGTCAGTATCCAGCCATCCTGGGTTGTAGCTGGTCAGTACTCAGCCATCCTGGGATGTAGTGGGTCAATACTCAGCCATCCTGGGATGTAGCGGGTCAGTACCCAGCTCTCCTGGGATGTAGCAGGCCACCACCCAGCCATCCTGGGATGTAGTGGGTCAGTACTCAGCCAACCTGGGATGTAGCGGGTCAGTACCCAGTCATCCTGGGATGTAGTGGGTCAGTACTCAGCCATCTTGGGATGTAGCGGGCCAGTACCCAGCCATCCTGGGATGTAATGGGTCAGTACTCAGCCATTCTGGGATGTAGCGGGTCAGTACTCAGCCATCCTGGGATGTAGTGGGTCAGTACTCAGCCATTCTGGGAATTAGCGGGTCAGTACCCAGCCATCCTGGGATGTAGTGGGTCAGTACTCAGCCATTCTGGGATGTAGCGGGTCACCACCCAGCCATCCTGGGATGTAGCAGGTCACTACCCAGCCATCCTGGGATGTAGCAGGTCACCACCCAGCCATCCTGGGACGTAGCAGGTCACCACCCAGCCATCCTGGAATGGCTGGCTGGTGACCCTATTTTCTTAACGCTTCTCCAAGGCAACAAAATATTTTGTTAGTAATATAAAGCCTTGTCCACTATCGCATTACGACACGGTGAGCAGGCCATTAGAAGCTTGTGTTTGTAATACCCATATACCTCAATGATCCATGGAAGGTATCTCTATGTCCCATAACCCAAGCTTCCTTCATCTTAATAATCCCTAATTTACCTCAATGATTCCAGAAAGTTTTCCTCCTATGCCGTAAAACCATTTCACTCTACCCCAGTTATTTAAGAGAGATCTCCACTCATCCCATTACCCTATTCCACTATACCTGTATACATTAAAAAAACAGTACAGAGTGTGGCACAATAAGTGTGTAGCTTAGTTAAATATCAGCTCTGAAGATTAACAGCTAATCAAAAAATATCCTTCAGAAGTTATCGTTTGGAAACTAATTTCACAGTTTCTGGTATAAAAACTGTGAAGAGTAATCAACACAGCCCAGAAGCAATTAGAAGCCTCCGCTACGTAAGATCTACTATATCTGAAAATTTAGAATAAGAAGACGAAGCATTCTGGAGTTACTGCACACAGACCAATATACCAAAATACACAGGTTTGAAGTTACTCAAAATCTGCATTCTTAGGTTATCAGCATTGAAGGTTTGAAGTCGATCAGATAAGCCATTCACAAATTACCGAATGAAAGACCAGTATTTCATTTCTTTCAACGTCTCAATAAAATTGTTAAGTTGGCTTCTACACAGTCCCAAACGAATCCAAATATTTCCCTAATGTAGTTCAAAGTTTTAAATCCTATCAGAAGATGCACAATCAAGTTATTGTACAGAAATAATTTATTTGATAAATTAGAACTTACACAACCTGAAATTAATTGGGAAACTTCCTTTGGGATTATTACTGATGCACAAAAAGTTTGAAGCAGCTGATGAATATCTCTTAGAATACAACGTGACCCTAGTAGGTTTAGCGCTTGAATCAGATTGCGATGATAATCAGTAGCTTGATCGCTACCGCACTCAGCTCACACACTGAGGTCCGGAGTTCGAACTTCCGGTACGGCTGGAAAACATTAGAGGCGTATGCCTACTGCAGAGAAGGTACTCATACCCAATAATTATAAATAATCAGCGTTGAAAATTTCAAGCTGATTGGAAGAGGCATTTTCTAATTATAAACGAGAACCTTACAATCACTGTTTTGAGTTCCAGGAAAATTCAGGTAATTCCTGTGAGTGTCTCCCTCAGGTAAGGTCGTGGGGCCGCCAGCATGTGAGAGGGAGGCTGGTGAGTGGTCAGCATGTTCCAGGGCGGAGTGTGGAGCTGGTGTGTCTGTACGCTGGACCACAGACAACCCCGAGTGTCGCCCCGTCAACCAGACTCGTCTTTGCCAGGTTCGTCCCTGTGAGGAGTGGCTCACGGGTCACCATCAGAAGCAGTTAACACCACATGAATCACCAAAAGGCTCAAGGAAGCATCATATTAGGGTGAGCACTTTCTTATTATTGCTTTGTTGAATATACAGAATAAGAACTGTTATCCTGCCTCAGCTTATTTACAGGCTAAAACCTGTTATTCTTATCTCATTTACAAGCTAAGCGCTGTTATCCTATCTTAGTACAACTGCAGGCTAAGAGTTGTTATTTTTACCTCAGTTAATTTATAAGCTAAGAGTTGTTATTTTTACCTCAGTTAATTTATAAGCTAAGAGTTGTTATCCTACCCCCAACTGATTTAAAAGTCCAGCCCTGTCTAAGGTATATAATCTCTTCCCAAGATGCCTCTTTAAGGGGGATTCTTGGAACGGTGAAGAGGCTTTTGGTCTGAAGCTAATTGCTCCCCAGTCCCCTCTTCCTTACCCCATCCTTTCCATCCCTCCTCCTTCTCTCCCCTCTCCTTCCTTTCCCACTTTTGGCCTTTGAGGTCCTCTCCTCAGGAATTCTAGCTCCTAGGTTGGGGGACGGGTATCGTTTTCCGTCGCATTCTGTTGAGGTATTGTGTTTTTGCTAGGGTACGGCATTCCGCCATGGGCACTGTGCTCCAGTGAATGTTCAGCACTCTACTTCGGGTATTACGTTCCAGCCAGGGTATTGTATTGTTCCACCCAGGGTATCATGTTCCTGCCAGGGAATTGTATTCCACCCATGATATTGTGTTCCAGCAAGTTAGTTGAGTTCCAACCAGGGTACTGTGTTCCAGCCATGATGCTGTGTTCCAGCAATGTTATTGAATTCCTTCCAGGGTACTGTATTAGCCAAAGTATCGTGGTCTACCCAGAGTATGGTGCTACACCTAGGGTACTGTGTTCTAGCCAGAATATTATATTCCGGCCTTTGTTTTGTGTTCCTACAAGAGCATGGTTCTTAAGAAGACATAGTGTTGCGATTCAAAGATAGTATTGTGTTGCAGGTAGTTTTATGTTAGAACCAGGTTTTGTTTTCCAGCCAGACTATTGTGTTCCAACTAAGTTTTTGTGTTCCAGTCACAATGTGTTACAACTAGGATATTGCTGTTTAGCCACTGTATTATGTTCCAGCCAGGATATTGTGTTCCAACAAAAATATAATATTCCAGGAAATAGTATTCCACCCAGGATATTGTGTTCCATTCAGGGTATTATTTTCCAGCAATGTGGAGACAGTAATGGTGAAGCTGGAGGTGCTGTCCTGGGAGACAGTAATGGTGAAGCTGGAGGTGCTGTCCTGGGAGACAGTAATGGTGAAGCTGGAGGTGCTGTCCTGGGAGACAGTAATGGTGAAACTGGAGATTTTGTCCAAGTAGTCGGGAATTATACGCAGGAAGGAATACATATAAATGACCTCATAGGGGACAGGAGCCGTAGTGGGGAAACAAGTGTAGTCAAAGATAAAATAAAACCAATATTGCAAACTAGAAATACCACAGGAAATAGCAAACAAGAGGACTCCACTAGCAATAGTGAAAAATTTATTACCGAAAACAACTGGTGGGAGCTCCATTGTTGGTGCTAGGGAGGATAGGAATAAGACAGGGAAACATGCACCAACAGGGAATACAGTCACAGAAACCCAAGGCAAACGGAAACCAAGCCTATGCACATACTATGCACTTGGTATCTGCAGACATGGGAAATCTGGAAAAAACAGACGGGACGTGCAACTATGACCACCCTAGAAAATGCCATGCCCATATGACAACAGGAAAATGCAAACTCCCTTCCTGTAAGCTTTTTCACCCTGAAATGTGTACCTCTTCAGTACAGGAAAGACTGTGCTATAACTTAAATTTCCAGGCACACCATCTAAAGGGGACAAAAAGATACAAAACATCCAGGCCATGGGGGAAAACCTGGGTAGCCACAGCCACTCAAGAGGGAGGTTTTTTAGTGCCAGGAAGGAAAAAAATCTGGCAGGAAATGGCAGAAATCGTACACCAAATCCAGTCATTCCTGGAGTGGAACCACAGTCGATGGCCTCCACTCCAAACCAACAGATACAGATACTAATGCCGAAAAAAAATCCCCCCCCCCAGTACCAACAATACCACCAGTCCGATGACATTCTTCTTTGCAAATATACAGGGTCTAAAGCCAGCAACAAACAACAAAATACCTTTCATCCGTGGACTGCTTGCAGAGGCAAAGGCAATGTTCGCGGCTTTCACTGAGACCCACGTAAAGGATCACTTGGACAACGAAATATGGATCCCAGGTTACAACCTATACAGATGTGACAGAGTGAACAGGCAATAGGGAGGGGGGGTTGGCCTGTACATTGCAGAGTCACTTGTTTGCACAGAACTGCTTAATGCCTCAAATGATGTAGTGGAAGTTTTAGCAGTAAAGAACGAGAACCAAAACCTAGTCATTGTGGTAGTCTACAAGCCTCCGGATGCAACATCCCAGCAATTCCAGGAACAGCTGTTAAAAATTGACCACTGTCTGGAAAATCTTCCAGCTCCTGCACCCAACATCTTGCTCCTGGGAGATTTCAACTTAAGGCACCTAAAATGGAGGAATATAGCAAATAATATTGTTGCAGTAATAACACCAGGAGGCAACTCTGATGAAAACTCACACTCACACGAGCTTTTAAATCTCTGCACAAAATTCAATTTAAACCAGCAAATAATAGAGCCTACTAGACTGGAGAATACACTAGACCTCATCTTCACTAACAATGATGATCTGATAAGAAATGTCACCAAATCAAAAACAATATACTCAGATCACAACATAATTGAGGTTCAGACATGTATGCGTGGAGCCCCAGACCGACATAATGAGACTAGTCACGAGGGAGCATTCACCAAATTCAACTTCAATAACAAAAACATAAAGTAGAACCAAGTAAACCAAGTCCTAACCGATATAAGCTGGGAAGATATACTAAGCAACACAGACTCCAACTTATGCCTAGAACAGATTAACTTGGTGGCACTCGATGTATGCACAAGGCTTATTCCTCTAAGAAAAAGGAGTAGATGTAAAATAGAAAGAGACAGGCGCTCCCATTACAGGCGACGGAAAAGAATAACAGAGCGGCTAAAAGAGGTCAATATATCTGAAATGCGTAGGGAGACACTGGTCAGAGAAATAGCAAGCATCGAACTTAACCTAAAGGAATCTTATAGGAGTCAGGAATCGCGGGAAGAACTAAAAGCCATAAATGAAATCGAAAGAAACCCAAAGTATTTCTTCTCCTATGCCAAATCAAAGTCGAGAACAACGTCCAGTATTGGGCCCCTACTTAAACAAGATGGGTCCTACACAGATGACAGCAAGGAAATGAGTGAGCTACTCAAGTCCCAATATGACTCAGTTTTTAGCAAGCCGCTAACCAGACTGAGAGTCGAAGATCAAAATTATTTTTTTATGAGAGAGCCACAGAATTTGGTTAACACAAGCCTATCCGATGTTATCCTGACGCCAAATGACTTCGAACAGGCGATAAATGACATGCCCATGCACTCTGCCCCAGGGCCAGACTCATGGAACTACGTGTTCATCATGAACTGCAAGAAGCCCCTATCACGAGCCTTTTCCATCCTATGGAGAGGGAGCATGGACACGGGGGTCGTCCCACAGTTGCTAAAAACAACAGACATAGCCCCACTCCACAAAGGGGGCAGTAAAGCAACAGCAAAAAACTACAGACCGATAGCACTAACATCCCATATCATAAAAATCTTTGAAAGGGTCTTAAGAAGCAAGATCACCACCCATCTAGAAACCCATCAGTTACACAACCCAGGGCAACATGGGTTTAGAACAGGTCGCTCCTGTCAGTCTCAACTATTGGATCACTACGACAAGGTCCTAAATGCACTAGATGACAAAAAGAATGCAGATGTAATATATACAGACTTTGCAAAAGCCTTCGACAAGTGTGACCATGGCGTAATAGCGCACAAAATGCGTGCTAAAGGAATAACAGGAAAAGTCGGTCGATGGATCTATAATTTCCTCACTAACAGAACACAGAGAGTAGTCGTCAACAGAGTAAAGTCCGAGGCAGCTACGGTGAAAAGCTCTGTTCCACAAGGCACAGTACTCGCTCCCATCTTGTTCCTCATCCTCATATCCGACATAGACAAGGATGTCAGCCACAGCACCGTGTCTTCCTTTGCTGATGACACCCGAATCTGCATGACAGTGTCTTCCATTGCAGACACTGCAAGGCTCCAGGCGGACATCAACCAAATCTTTCAGTGGGCTGCAGAAAACAATGAAGTTCAACGATGAGAAATTTCAATTACTCAGATATGGTAAACACGAGGAAATTAAATCTTCATCAGAGTACAAAACAAATTCTGGCCACAAAATAGAGCGAACACCAACGTTAAAGACCTGTGAGTGATCATGTCGGAGGATCTCACCTTCAAGGACCATAACATTGTATCAATCGCATCTGCTAGAAAAATGACAGGATGGATAATGAGAACCTTCAAAACTAGGAAGGCCAAGCCCATGATGACACTCTTCAGGTCACTTGTTCTATCTAGGCTGGAATATTGCTGCACTCTAACAGCACCTTTCAAGGCAGGTGAAATTGCTGACCTAGAAAATGTACAGAGAACCTTCACGGCTCGCATAACGGAGATAAAACACCTCAGTTACTGGGAACGCTTGAGGTTCCTAAACCTGCATTCCCTGGAACGCAGGCGGGAGAGATACATGATTATATACACCTGGAAAATCCTAGAGGGACTAGTACCGAACTTGCACACGAAAATCACTCACTACGAAAGCAAAAGACTTGGCAGACGATACAACATCCCCCCAATGAAAAGCAGGGGTGTCACTAGCACGTTAAGAGACCATACAATAAGTGTCAGGGGCCCGAGACTGTTCAACTGCCTCCCAGCATACATAAGGGGGATTACCAACAGACCCCTGGCAGTCTTCAAGCTGGCACTGGACAAGCACCAAAAGTCGGTTCCTGACCAGCCGGGCTGTGGCTCTTACGTTGGTTTGCGTGCAGCCAGCAGCAACAGCCTGGTTGATCAG